GGGGGGGGGGTCAGCGCCTCTAGTGTTTACACACCGGGGGGGGTCAGCGTCTCTAGTGTTTATACATCACCAGTTTATGCTGAGATTAATACATGCTGACATCCACGCACACTGCATCGATGTGCACTAATGTACTACACTAGATCCATTAATACATACAGGGGTACTACAGTAACACTCGCTGTGTGTGATTCTCTCGAACCATTAACGCATACTGTATACTGTGGCATTTTATTCGGGATAAATATGGTGTGTGGCAGCTGAATCTCTGACTCTCTCGCCTTTCTTTCAGAGACTGACTTCGTATCTACATGGGAAGAATTCCCCACCATATGTGATCAACCTGGATCCCGCAGTCCATGAGATCCCTTTCCCAGCTAATATAGGTACAGGATTCCTTTCCTGGGCCGGCTCTGAGTCGTGAATAGAGCCACCTGTAACCAATGTCGCTGTTTTGTTGTAGATGTCCGAGACACTGTGAACTACAAGGAAGTTATGAAGCAGTATCCTTAGCACATTACAGGTTACATTACAGTAGAGGGAGGTACAGTAAGTGCTGTAGGTATACAGTGTATGTATATTTTATTTATATAGCACTAACAGGTTTATACAGTGAGGTACAGTAAGTACAGTAGGTATACAGTGTATGTGTATTTATATAGCGCTAACAGGTGTACTCCGCACTTTACAGGTTACATTACAGTAGAGGGAGATACTGTAAGTGCTGTAGGTATACAGTGTATGTATATTGTATTTATATAGCGCTAACAGGTGTACTCAGCACTTTACAGGTTACATTACAGTATAGGATGGTACAGTAAGTGCAGTAGGCATACAGTGAATGTATATTTTATTTATATAGCACTAACAGGTGTACTCCGCACTTTACAGGTTACATTACAGTATAGGATGGTACAGTAAGTGCAGTGGGTATACGGTGTATGTGTATTTATATAGCGCTAACAGGTGTATACAGTGAGGTACACTAAGTGCAGTGGGTATTGGATACAGTGAGGTACACTAAGTGCAGTGGGTATTGGATACAGTGAGGTACACTAAGTGCAGTGGGTATTGGATACAGTGATGTACACTAAGTGCAGTGGGTATTGGATTCAGTGAGGTACAATAAGTGCAGGGGGTATTGGATACAGTGAGGTACACTAAGTGCAGTGGGTATTGGATACAGTGAGGTACACTAAGTGCAGTGGGTATTGGATACAGTGAGGTACACTAAGTGCAGTGGGTATTGGATACAGTGAGGTACACTAAGTGCAGTGGGTATTGGATACAGTGAGGTACACTAAGTGCAGTGGGTATTGGATACAGTGAGGTACACTAAGTGCAGTGGGTATTGGATACAGTGAGGTACACTAAGTGCAGTGGGTATTGGATACAGTGAGGTACACTAAGTGCAGTGGGTATTGGATACAGTGAGGTACACTAAGTGCAGTGGGTATTGGATACAGTGAGGTACACTAAGTGCAGTGGGTATTGGATACAGTGAGGTACACTAAGTGCAGTGGGTATTGGATACAGTGAGGTACACTAAGTGCAGTGGGTATTGGATACAGTGAGGTACACTAAGTGCAGTGGGTATTGGATACAGTGATGTACACTAAGTGCAGTGGGTATTGGATACAGTGAGGTACACTAAGTGCAGGGGGTATTGGATACAGTGAGGTACAATAAGTGCAGTGGGTATTGGATACAGTGAGGTACACTAAGTGCAGTGGGTATTGGATACAGTGAGGTACACTAAATGCAGTGGGTATTGGATACAGTGAGGTACACTAAGTGCAGGGGGTATTGGATACAGTGAGGTACACTAAGTGCAGGGGGTATTGGATACAGTGAGGTACACTAAGTGCAGGGGGTATTGGATACAGTGAGGTACACTAATTGCAGGGGGTATTGGATACAGTGAGGTACACTAAGTGCAGTGGGTATTGGATACAGTGAGGTACACTAAATGCAGTGGGTATTGGATACAGTGAGGTACACTAAGTGCAGTGGGTTATTGGATACATTATTCCTATTGCACATTAGTGGAAGTTTCTGGTTATATTGATCGATGTTCAGGATGTCTTGTGTCGTAGAACTTTCTAATTTGGGTGTGTAATAGGATGAAGGCCTTTATTTTACATTTATATTTTTTTGTATACACTTTTAAAATTATATTTTTAAAATATCATAACTATATTGCACTTGAAAAGCTTATCCAAAACGATTAAATCAAGGTATGACCTGGTACAGTGTATGGGTGATGCTTGGACTATTTCTGAATTTGCATAAGTCATATTCAGTTAAAGGGCTCCCCAATTTCCAAATCTGCTTTTTGTTTCCGGTACATGGTTGTTTATTGACTTGGAACGTGGTCTGTCAGCTCTTGGACCATGACGCATACCCTCATTCATGTTCCTGAACTAAAGTATCAGATATGGACTGGGACCGAATGGTGGCATTGTCACTTCTCTCAATCTGTTTGCAACACGCTTTGATCAGGTGCGTACCCAGGAAGTTTCATAATATTTATATCACCTTTCTTTAACATGTATGTACTTGGTGGTCTTGACTTTTAATTGTTGTCTCCTAAACAAACTGGTCAGCACAATTATAATGTCCTCCTCCATAGTTTGTCCGGCTGTGCCTTTAATGAACTGGATTGGGATACTTTTTTATCACATTGAGTGGTTATTGTCATAATTTCTCTCTTAAACAGAGTGCTCCACCTGCTGGTCCCCTGTCAAAGCACGCTGCCTGCTGGTTTGGGGCAATAATGACTCTAATTATTGGAAGAACGATCCAGTTCTTTCCTGTCCGATAGCCTGATGGTGCTCTGCGTATACTTGTAAATTGGAGGATGGGAGAAATTGCCACTGGTTCCATTTATATGCATGATCTGTAGCCATGCAGTGTGCAAGGAATGTGCTTGTTCTGATTAATGTTAATTTGTGCCATTGGAATGTTACAAAGTTGCTGTGTAGTGATTTACTCTCTGTCCCTACAGGTGGTAAAATTCATAGAACGGCGACAGAAGGATTGTAGGTAAGGAGTCTATATTAGTGATTCCCAACATCTTTCAGTATCTCCTATCAAAACATGACTGGGTTCTCAGTACACATTGCCTCTTTTACTTGGGGTTCTCTCCTGTGGCTTTCTCTCCCCTTTCTGTACTGGGTGCTCTACTGTGTATGCAGATTACCCTCTGTCACGTGGCTGTCTCTCTCTAGGTATGTCCTGATAGATACTCCAGGACAGATTGAAGTATTTACATGGTCTGCATCGGGCACCATTATAACAGAAGCTTTGGTAAGTCTCTGGGCAGAACCGGGTTAGAGAGGGGAGTGCTTAGGCTGGTGCAATCTGTTGGCGGGCAGTTAAACCATTCTATCATTTTATATGGGCAGGGGGGTTATCTCTGCTATGTGTATGGGGGAGGCGGTCATTCTATTTAGGTTATCCCTGCTATGTGTACGGGAGGGTATTATTTAGGTTATCATTGCTGTATGTATGTGTGTATATAGTGTGTGTGTGTGTGTGGGTGGTATTATTAACTGTTATGTCTGTGTGATGGGGGAGTATTATTATAACTGATATGTCTGCATTGTGACGTACCGCCTGGCACCCTGAACGGGTACCTCCGTCAATCATTGCGTCCTAGTACTTGCGAACACCATAACTATCATAAACCCCACAAACCACCGCAGCTTGGTTGGGGTTTCGCTGTCCTCCACTCACCCTGGACCCAAGACCAGGATCCAGCTTCCAGTGGTTAGACCTCTCCTAATCCAGAGAGCGAAGCAGGCTGCTCTTACAAGAGCAAGTGTTGGGATCCAAGGGAGAATGGTGATTATAGCAATCCCCAGAGTGTGAATATAGCTCTCCAATTCCCCAAACATGAGCCTAGACTTCATGAAGGGTAAAACTAATCTTGTTTAATGGCAACCACAACTGGCCTTTTAGGACAGTCCCCATGCAAGGGGCACTCCCCCCTGGACCTGAGAGTAAACCACAGTAGAAATATATACACAATCACATTGGCTCCCAGGTCCAGGACATTCCTATACAAAATCAGATAATCCCTCCTCTGTGCCTGGGAGATAATTGGATTAGATTAGTACAGTTCCTGATCCAATTATCTCCAAGCACAGAAAAAACATACATTTTTACAAACCCCCCAAATACCTTAACACATACAAAAACCCCCCAAATGGTACATCCCCTGATAGCCCCGTTCTGGGTGACCTACATATCCAAAAATCAGGGGTTCAGGAATTTCCTGAAAGTCTTATTTTTGACCGACCGTGCACATGGTCCCATGCCTAAAACAGATACAGGGAATCAGGGCTAATGGTTGGTCTCTGTCTGGACCACAAAAGTACATAACTCACATGAACAGAGCCTTTTCAAGTGAATTGGGCAAGGTATATTGCAGGGCCCATAGTCCTGAGGCAAGAGGCTGGCCAGCAGGCCCCTCCAAAAACCCGCTATGAGGTTTAGTTCGTCAGATGCGTGATTGGGGGCTATTATTATAACTGATAAGTCTGGGGGATTTGCTGCTTTGAAGGGTGATGCATTCTGTATTCCTTTAGGCCTCCTCCTTCCCCTGTGTGGTCGTGTATGTGATGGACACGTCTCGAAGCACAAACCCTGTGACGTTTATGTCAAACATGCTGTATGCGTGTAGGTAAGTGCCAGCAGACTCCTGTAGTCGTGGTGTTTTCAGTAGTGTTCGGTGATTATGGATTGTATAGGGTGTTACTGTTCGCTCATTCTCTAAGAGCTTTCTGGTTTCTGTGTTTTTCAGCATTATGTACAAAACAAAGCTTCCCTTTATTATCGTTATGAACAAGGTGAGTTGTAGTCCGCACTCTTTCTCCCCGCGGCGGCACTTGCGTTCACACTGGCTCCCCGTGTCAGCAGTCTGCTTGCACGCTGTCCCTCCTCCCTCTGCCCCCCCGCGGCAGTCCACATTCACATGCATTGGTTCACAGTTTGGTGCAGAGCTAATCACACGTGCGCTGTAATGTCTTCAGCTCTTTCTGCAGTGGAATGTATATATGGAAGGGAACATGCTAAGGACCATAACAACCTCTACAGACAGTAAATGTCAGTGTCCCTGCACCAACTCCCACTTTCGCCATCCAAGTTGTGCAAATGGCATGTGTCCTTACTTCCGCTATACCACTGCTGCCCAAATTTGTGATCAATGGCCTAAAGGTTGTGGCACATGTCCTTATTCAAAAAACTAAATGGAGATGTAGAATGACACTGAACTCCATTTCCCATAAATGCCTTCCAGATGGATTGATAATTTAGATAATCTGTGTCTTGCAGACAGATATAGTCGATCATAGCTTTGCCGTGGACTGGATGCAGGATTTTGAGAGTTTTCAAGATGCTCTTAATCAGGAGACGTCTTATGTCAGTAACCTGACTCGATCTATGAGCCTTGTTTTGGATGAGTTTTATAACGCTTTGCGGGTAAAGTATATATTTAGTTATTATATTTAGGTATACATGATGTTAGTGGGCGCTGTATGTTGCTGGAGTGTGTAGTGAGTGTTCATTGAAGTTGTTATGGTCCCTGACAGGTTGTGGGAGTGTCTGCAGTAACTGGAGCTGGGATGGAGGATTTCTTTGCCAAGGTGGCAGAAGCCGCGGAGGAATACATGAGGTGAGTGCATTGTTCTGATATCAGTGTGTCTGGGCACAATTTCTAAATTAATTTTAAATACCTCCTGTGTAAAACGGAACAACATGGGAAATGCCTGGTCTATAAAAAACTGAAAATATCCCATTCCCTTTGCCCATATTCAGCATCATGACAGCGTCCATGTTTCCTTGTATATCAAACTAGGATAAAGTAATCACATTACATCAGGACAAAAAGTACAGATTTCATTAGAATAGGTCATTCCGTGTTACACCCCCCTTGGCTGGCAATCAGACACCCGGTCCTGTTGCTTCCTGGTTTGATTAGCTCAGTGAAATAAACTCAAGAGGCAGCAATTGCCCAGAGCACCTGCCTTGAAAGACGTCTCGTTGAGTGAATTCTGCGGCAATTGGTCTGGGCTGTTTCTGCAAAGATTAGACAAAGGAAAATCAAAGAGTTACAAAATGCCAGTTTCACACCTGTACAGCCTCTCTATCTCAGGGTGGTTGTGTGGTCACATTGGCAGCCTTTAAACAATACTTTTTAAGCTAAACACTTTTTGCATTTTTTTTTTTTATCATATTTTAGTCCTGCGACTTTCGCCGTGTCTGGGTGCGCACTGTCCCCAGATGGTACGTTTTTCTATTAGAGCAGCGTTTTGGAAACTAGAATTCCATTTTAACATGGAGCATAATGTGTGTCTCTTTTCAGGGAATACCGACCGGAGTACGAACGTCTGAGGAGAGCGGCGGTAAGTTAATTAGGCTCAAAATGTATCCATCATTGCTCTGTAATCTTTCAAAGGGTTAAAATAACCTTCAGCCACACTTTGGGGTTATGAAATGATTGTAATAGTACAGTAGATGGGACCTGGCTGAGAATAGTTTATTTTCCTTTCTGTGATAAATGGCCTTTTCTCTGTGTTCACTAAATTCTTAAACTCTGCCTCCTAAACATCTCCCAGAATGTGATTTGAGATTATCACCATACCATTCCTTACTAAGCTGTTCTCTATGCAGGAGGAGGAGAAGAGACAGGAGCAGCAGGAACAGTTGGACAGACTGCACCGTGATATGGGATCTGTTGCCCTGGATCGTGGACAAGGCCCAGGTAATGTGATAATTGTCCTGTTCCCACGGGATCGGCGCTGTTGACTGCTTGCTTACACTGTGTATTAAAACACGGATGTGAGATTTCCCAATATTTACACCACAAGGGAGGGCAGTGGGTGTCAGCCTTCCATGGATTAGAGATAATGACAAAACCACCAGAGGTGGTGCCATAACTTCCTAGCACCATAGTAGGTAACGTATAAAAGCTACAGTAAATATGGTGCCTGGCATGCCCTCCTAAGAGGAATGGTCCCACTACCCATCTCAGCACTGAATCTTCTGACTTTTAGCTTGTTCTTTATTTCTATTTCAATTCCAGTTTTCTATTTTTTTGTTTCTGCAAGTAAGCTGCATCCATTGCCCCACTCACTAGTAACTCAGAGCGTTGAAATCTGTGAAATTTGCTAATGTAGATCCATATTGGTCGGTCTTGTATGTGACATAATATTCTACACAGTGCTTTACAACACCCAAGGTCATTCACAGAGGTCTACTAGGGAAGATGGATTGGTTACAACAAATGTTTGTTTCCTATTTAGACAATCCTACGTACCCTGATAGTGGATACTGTTTTAAATAATTATTGTAACAGAGCCCCTATATTCTGAGTGGTACCTCCTTGTAGATTCCTCAAGGTTCCGTAGAGAAGCAGTGATTACATCTCTTGCCTACCCAAACATCAGTTGAGACTTGATGAAGGGTACAAAATGAACTGGTTCATTCAGCCAAACGCACACACATTTATACCCAGACCCCAAGCATGGGGTTTCCATGGTATTTGCAATGGCACCCCCAGGCATATTGATATTTTTAAATGATATGGAATAAAAGTTATATTTTATTTTTACTATCATCAAGATCAGCACTGGGTAATTACTCTCCAATCCAGTAGTGCAAGCATCTCGGTGTGTATATATATTTGCCGCGGACATATTAGGTATGTCTGCGGTCCCTTAAAGGCCATTTTTTGTCGGATGTACCCAGTACATCCATGGTCATTAGGGAGATAAATTTAATTCTATGTATATCTCCCTAATGACCATGGATGTACTGGGTACATCCGACAAAAAATGGCCTTTAAGGGACCGCAGACATACCTAGTATGTCCGCTGCAGATAGGAGCCCTGGGCTTACCTGGACCGGCGATCATGGTCAGAGGGGACTGCCCAAGACCCCAGCAGTCCCCCTGCAGTAGCTCCGGCCCTCGAGGGCCATGTGATCACCATGATCAAATCGCCGCAATAGGAGCTGCCATCCGAGGGACTCTAGGAGCGGTCAGGCAGTCCCACAGGCTGCTTTAAAAAAAATATATTAAAGGACCACTATAGTGCCAAGAAAACATACTCGTTTTCCTGGCACTATAGTGCCCTGAGGGTCCCCCTCCCGCCCGGCTCTGGAAGGGGGAAAGGGGTAATAACTTACCTTTTTCCAGCGCTGGGCGGAGAGCTCTCCTCCTCCTCTCCGCCTCTGTTACGCTCCGCCGGCTGAATGCGCACGCGCAAGCTGCGCGCGCATTCAGCCTGCGCGCATTTCAGCCGCGCTCTCACTGTGATTTTCACAGTGAGAAGCACGCAAGCGCCTCTAGTGGCTGTCAATGAGACAGCCACTAGAGGATTAGGGGGAAGGCTTAACCCATTCATAATTATAGCAGTTTCTCTGAAACTGCTATAATTATGAAAAAATGGGTTAACCCTAGAAGGACCTGGCACCCAGACCACTTCATTAAGCTGAAGTGGTCTGGGTGCCTAGAGTGGTCCTTTTAATATAAAATAAGTAAAGCATTTTATATTATACAATATTCAACAGAAAAAAAATAAAATAGATATAAATGTATATGTATAAATATAAATGTGTATGTATATATATATATATATATATATATATATATATATATATATATATATATATATATATATATATATATATATATATATATATATATATATATACACAGAATCCAGCGCACTCTATTATTCACTAAAAAATTATTTCAAATCTTAGAGATTGTAATAGCTTTATTTAAAAACACCTCACCCAGGCAAAAAATAATGGGGGTTTAGTTACATTATATGATCATATATTGCGTAAGCCTGCCACAACGTCAATGTACCCCATTCTTGGCAGGTCCTACTCTAGCAGCCTAATGCTTGCTCTTATGAGATTAATCCACTTACTTGGGGGAAAAATTCCATCTGGGGCTCTCTGCAGTACAAGGCTAACTAGGGCCCTGGGATGAGACACACGTGTAATACACACTGTGTGTGTGTATATATGTGTGTGTGTGTGTGTGTGTATATATATATATATATATATTTTGTGTGTGTGTGTGTGTGTGTATATATATATATATATACACATACACAATATTTTTAATTTTTTTTTAATAAAAAAAAATTAAAACGCTAACTTTGGCCAGCATTTGTGGCTACTACAAAAGACTGGACATACCCCATTTTGAATTCTGTGGGTTGTCTTTTTTACAAATTTTATGCCATGATGGGGGTTAATTTTCATTCCTGGGCTGCTATACGGTCTCAAAGGCAACATAGGTCCAGCAAACCAACCTGGCAGATTTCAATGTGCAAACATGGAAAAGGGGAAAGCCCTACATTTGACCCTGTAAGATTGCAAAAACCCATAAAACCTGTACATTGGGGGAAGGAGATGTTGAACACATATTGGGGTGTTCTTTGGCAGTAACCCTTAAAGTTCTCCGTACATGTATTCTTAAATTGCTATGTGTGTCAAACAAAAATCACCAACTTTATTTTTATTTTTTTATTTGGCATAGACTGGTGGTAAAATGGTTGCATGAAGAGTCGAAATACCCCAAGTTTAATACCTTAGGGTGTCTTCTTTCAAATATATACATGTGAAGGGTTATTCAGGGATTCCTGACCGATATCAGTGTTACAATGTAACTTGCATCATTTTGAAAAAAAAAAATGGTGCTACTTTTACTTATAGCCCTATAACATTCCCAAAAAGGCTAAGTACATGTTAACATTTGGTATTTCTAAACTCAGGACAAAATTTAGAAACTATTTAATATGTGTGTTTTTTTGCTGGTTGTAGATGCATAACAGATTTCGGGGGTCAAAGTTAGAAAAAGTGTTTTTTTTGTTTTGTTTGTTTTTTCATCTTATTTTACCATTATTTTCATCATATCATAATTTACTATAACAAATGTATCTTTAGAAAGATCATTTAATGGCGAGAAACAGTATATAAAATGTGTGGGTACGGTAAATGAGTAAGAGGAAAATTACAGCTAAACACAATGTAAGAAATGTAAACACAGCCCTCGTCCCAAACAGTAAGAAAATTGTAAAGCGATCTGGTCACTAAGGGGGTTAAACTTCTTGTGCAATAAAATGGTTAAAAGAAATAACACACCTGGTCACTGCAGGGCCTGTAATATCTAAACCAATAATGTCCAGCATCTGAATGCCAGTTCAGGCACATCTTGCATACAGCCTGTCTCATTTGCTTCTCCTGGGGGGATCTTTGGACATTCAAAAGAATAATAAAGATAAGGGGTAAATGAAAATTGGTTGACCACTAGTGTTTTGTACTCTTTCACTGCTATGGGAACATGCCTTGTGTTTAGAGATTGACTTAAGAATACTACGCAACCTTTCCCAATTGTAAGAGAAACCACCTTCTTCCAGGTTTGGACGAAATGGCAGTAGGACCATCAGATCTGATCCTTTCACGGGGTAACGTGGATGATGATGACGACGAGGCAGAGGACAGCGATACAGACGATATAGATCACTCTGGTAGGTCTGCTATATTATTTGAGGCATTAGATGCTTGGTGGTCTGTCTCCACGCGATTTTAGGGGTGCAAGATGTAAGACTGATTAAAGGGACATTCCACTGCCATAATGCATGCATTTATTTTTTATATAACTGGAGTAATATCCAAAAACCATATGCACAAGCTGAAGATCTCTTGTCTGCAGCCTTTGCAAGACCTCCCCTTGTAACCCCACCCAGACTTTGTGTCTGTCCAATCACAGGCTTCCTAATGCAGCTCAATGAGAGGTCTTTAAAGAGGCAGCAGTTTCCCAGAGCACCTGCCTTGTAATTTATCTCCACTGAGCTAAACAAATGAGGAAGTAAGAGGACCGGTTGTCTGATTAACGGGTGTGGGGATGTAATAAGGTTAATTTATAAAAGTGCCAATTTCTATTGAAATCTGCATTGTTTGATTTATTTACTGTGTTAAGGTTTTGACCTTTTTGTTAAATTGCTTCGGGGGTCCCTTTAAGAAAATGTTAGTGTTGATTTTGTTAGACGTGAAGCCGTTACTGATCTTTTCTAGGCGTTCTGACTAAGCCGTGTGTCCATCATTTAATAAGAATTGTTGGAGGGTTAGTTTGATGCCATGCCTTTCCAAGTCCCTCCTGTCAATACAGACTGATATCTAATGATGTTCTAGGACTAGGTCATAAGTGTCCAACCGTTTGGCTTCCCTGGGCTGCATTGTGTGAAGAGGAATGGTCTTGGGCCACACATCAAATATTTACATTACTATATTATATAAGTAATAAAACCTTAAAAGCTATTTTCTTTGATATTTGTTTAGTAGATAACTCCCTTATGTGGGATTGACATTTAGTAGATAGCTCCCTAATTTGGTATCCTTAAACACATACACATGTAAATACATAATCACATTCATATACATTTAGTAATGATGCGTATAAGAGGTCCACTCAGCTTCCCTACCTTACTTTATGAGGGCTGGAGTGGGTCCTCTCCATGGTGGCCATTTCTGCATAGGTCCTTCGCCCAGTAGTGATGCCGATGCCAGGATGATATCATATCCTGGCTGCGGTCTCACTGCAGGACAAGAGAAGCACAGTATGTAAAATCTTACTTGTATTCAAGTCTGCAGCTGCTTGCTTTGTCTGTTTCCTTTAGACCTGCCCACTGACAGCAGAAGTGGTAGTCTGATCCCTTGCCGCCCAGCAACCCAAATGGAAACTGCGCAGCATTACTAGTGGTTCTGGGCTGCAGGTTGGACATGCCTATTCTAGTCCCTGAATGGACAATGCACACTTTTTTGGGGGGGGTAGGAAAGGAAGGGGTATGTCCTTGCTGACTGGAAGCTCTTTAGCAGTTCTGTGGTACCATTTTCTACTACTCTGTCCTTATATATTTACATTTGTAGGAAGAATAAAAGCACAAAGTTTCTTTGTTTTCTGACGTTTGTGTGCTAAATGTCCACTCTTTAATGAACGCCAATTTAAAACAAAGCTATTTTGAGTTGATGCTGAAACCCTGTATGGCTCCCACAGAGCACAGGCTGAGAGAGAAGTGTTGGGGCCCATCCAGGTTTATACTACTTTAAATATTCTAAATATTCTTATTGTTTGCTGACAGTGGCCGAAGCAAGACTGGAGGAACCCGCTTTCCAGAACTTTCTGCAGCAAGCACAGAGCAAATACCGGGAGAAGCTTGGCCAGTGAGAGAGCAGGACCACCACATCATCCACAAGTGTTTAATATGCAAGCAGGAAGTCTCTGTAACCACGTATGGACAATCTCTGAATCGCAGTGACAAACCCAGAAAGGGCTTTGGAGGCATTGTATGTGGCTACAAAACATTGACAATGAGCACCTGGTTCAAGGTCTGAACCGGTATCCTTGACATGCATACATCGGACAAGAACTTTAGTAACTCCTATGACATCCTGACGTCTTTCAATCTACTTATGAGACG